GCTGCAAGAAATTTCAACGATTTTGAGGAGCAAACTACAAGATATTAGATATTTTTCCTCTCATACTAATTTCTTTTATTGAAGGGAAAAAAGACAAATATATTTCGAACTATCGTAAATGACATGCAAATATCCTCCGTCATACTTTTGGGACATTGATGCCCCTGGTGTCCAAAAACTAGAGCATGCCCTTCACTCTAACAGAAGACTAAGTTAGGGTCATGTGGAGCAATCTTATCCGTCGATCTGATATTTAATAAATGTCGGGTCTATGGATAAGATTATGACATGTGTATGTCCATTAGTATAAAGGGCATATATGCTCTAGTTTATAGACGGCAGGGACACCAATATCCCAAAAGTATGACGGAGGGTATCTACATACCATTTATGATAGTTCAGAAGCATATTTTTCCTTTTTCCATTTATTGAATACAACCTTAGTAGATTCACTTCTTGAATCTCCTTTTGATTAATTTCTTTCCACTCTCATAATCTAAATATTGTTTTTATCTTTGCTTAACTTTATTTTACACTACCATATATAATAAACAATAGTGGGATAGATCTCTATTCATATCGCCTTTCATGTTCACTTATTCATCATCTTTTAAACAATAAAAATATTTAGTCACAAGCCTTATAGAAGTTTGCAATTGAGATTCTTACATAACATTTTACAAAACAAAAAACAAATCATACTGATATTAAAGAAAAATCAGAAAAATGAATGGCTTCAAAAAGTTTAATTTTGAGTATATACTAACATTAAATAATCAAATAATTATATGATATAAATTTTATAAGATAATCGCCTGAATCGTATCATTAACACCCATACTAAAAATAAAAGGACCCTGAAAAAATAGATAAATTATTATATAACACTACCATAGAAAAATACAATCATGATTCCACTTTCTTAAAGATTAAACTTTGTAGGAAATTTTCTTGTGCCATTTCAAATGGGCTTGGAAAAGAATTCAAGCAACCCAAAAAAATTACCAAGACATATATGGATATTATAGGGAAAATTGTATAAAATAGCAAACTATTTATTCAAATTAAATGTTATAGCCATAGTTTATTTTATTTGTAATTCACAGCATACATCCCCTTTTTATGCCATTTGGTTCGGTATACAATTACACATTCGATATACAAATGTATAAAATGCGTTTGTGTTTGTATAAAGCGAGAGAAAAGTGTATATACAAATACAAATATATATATTTTCGTCTTATACACTTATAATTATACAAATACAGATCTTATTATACAAATTACAATATATAAATGAATTTATACAAAACTGAACAGTTTGTATAAAATTGGATGTATCTAGCGAATTATACAAATCAAAAGCTCCATAGCAAACATAAAATTTGTTATGGAGCGGAATTATGTAAACTATAGCTATAACATACAAATATGATTTTTATATTTGCTATATGTGAAAGTTGTTCCATCATATATATGTGGGTGGACTCAAGTAATGACATCTACGTTAAGGTAATGTCTTGATTAATTAGCCTAATTAACCCTTCAGCCCATTTAAGAATTCAGAAATGGGCTAGCAACCAAAATTAAAGCCACAATCCTTAAGTATCTTTTCCATCTTCATCCACTTTGTACAAAGAGTTAGGTCTAAAGGAGCGGACTCACAAAAATACCTTGGGAGGTGCCACAATTCGTTTGACGTACAATAATGTGTTAAACTACTTCAACAAGTCTGCGAATGAGATAATGAGATTTGAATGCACACAACTAGTATAATGAGGCTCATAAGAGAGTTAAGCTTTTAGTGTCAAGTACTATTATTGATCATCTTGTATTGTGTTTGTAATATTTGGGTTTTAAAATTGAATATACCTATATGTTTATGAAATAGAATGAATTCTTTGAAATGTCATTTTAAAAGCTTTTTTACAAATATAATGACTCCCTTAAGTAGCGTAAGAAATATCTGCAAGTATAAATATTGACATTGCTATATCTTAAAGAAAATTGCTTATATTCTTTTATGCGCGATTCCAGATTTAATCGATTCTCATTGTGATATCAAACATCAGGTGCGAAACCAAAAAAATAAAACAGCTGATATTTTTGTACTTACTATTCCTCAATCTTATGAAAAAGAATGATTGAGAATCTCGAGAATGTATATAAAAACATAAGTGTAACATAAGCCTCTTTCCCCTCCTCTTAGTTGGTAGTATTACCTTATTATATTGTGATATTTAAATAGGCATATATTATATGAAAGATGTACTACTCCTTCTGCAACGAGCAGAGGTCAGAATAAAAGGGGACAAGCTTAAAATATGTTAATTTGATTAGTATATGATATTATTTTAGTCATTATTGAAAGAGTATTATTGTAATAATTGAAAAATGAACCTGACAAATAAAGCAAGCATAGTTTTAAAAAAAAACTTGAAAGGTTAAAGAGTTGTGGAAATTGTAAAACATGTAATGTTATCAACTATTTTTAGGACATTTCGAAGTGGAAAGAGTGAGATAAGTTTGAGTGAAACCACAGCTAAGAAAGGGGTTCAATTAAATTCCCTTCGTTGAAAAATCAGACAACACAAATTATATAAAAATAAAAACTATAAAGTAAATATACCAGAGAAAATATAGAGAGCGATTGATATACAAATGAACTGAATTGACTTCTTATTTATAGAAGACAAGAAGTTGTTGCGAGACTTTTTATGAAGCAGCTATGACGTTTTTTAGAACATGCTTGCAAGTTGTCTGCTTAATTTTAAATTTATCTAGAAAACTCTGGAATGAGCATCAACAATACGATGTATATATATACATATGGAATTTACTTTTTAACTACAATGCTAGTTAAAAATTGCTTTAGGTAGCTAGCAGGAGGGGAAGCTAGGCTCGCAGGGAGTTCATCCGAATTTCACTCTGCTAGAAAACACACTATACAACAAAGTTGGTACTCCTTCCGTCCCATTTTATATAAGCTAGTTTGACTCGACACTGAGTTAAAGAAAGAAAAGAAGAGTTTTGAAACTTGTGGTCTAAAATAGGTGATAGAAATTTATGAGCTATAAATCATTTCATTAAGGATAAAATGAGCATTTTAAAATTAATATAGAAATGTGTCATTTTTTTAGGACCGACTAAAAAGAAAAATAAATCATATAAACTGAGACGACAGAAGGAATATTATTTTTCATGTATATACCGTACAAGATTGATCCCCAATTTCTTCTTTAATTTGTCTGTAGTTTTTAAATACTTTAGTGAAACTCTTAGCTCTAACCCTTAGTTCCAAGTTTGAATTTTCTTAATACCCTAGTTGACTTGTTCAACCATAATATATACACACACGTATTACCTTCTATTCTCGATCCAAATTTTATGGGAATTGAATGCACAAAGCACAAAAAATTGTACACATTTCTTGAACTTCAACAACTATGTGTTGAAAAAAGAACAAGTCAATACAAATTCCAAGAAATTACTATTAAACTAATCATGTGACTTAATCCGCAAAATATGCAGCTCAAAATGCGCCACTAAAACTCACAAGTAAATAAGTGCATCTACACTTGAAACAAAACTATAGTATTATATAAACACACAAAAAGAAAAAATAAAAAAAATGCACAAGTCAATCTTAGAGCTGGAAATGTGCTACTCCCTCCTCCGCCCACTTTTATTTGTCATGTTGCGCTTTTCGAAAATCAATTTGACTATTTTTCAGAATTAAATAAGATTACATTATTTAGATATTATAAACAAAAAAAATTCGATATTCAAAAATTATACGAAAAGTACTATAAATTGCATTTTTTTCATATCAATATGAAGAAAAAACACATTATAAAATGTTAGTCAAAGTTCTTATAGTTTGACTCTAAAAAAAAAAAATCATGACAATTAAAATTGGACGGAGGGAATAGTTATTTTGTTTTCCCCTCTTACTTCTCATATCAAGAAACTATAAACAACAAACCCTGGGTTTTGGTGATGATATAAGTATTATATTTTTATGAAGTAGGACTTTGTAGGTCCATGTGAAACCAAAGGTAGATCTAGGGAGAATTTTATGGGTCCAATAAACTCATTACTTTCGGTTCGAACTAATTATCTATATGCAAAAAAAAAGAAGGTGTCTATACAATACAAAATCCTATTTAACAATGGACTAGCAAGGGATTAGCGACATATTATGAAAAATCCTATTTTAGGAATTAGCGACAACGCATTTAGCAGCGGATCCGTAGCTAATTCCTGTTTTTTTTAGTGATATACTCCCTTTACTCAATAATAGTTGTCCACTATCGATTTGACACACACATTAAGAAACAATAAATAATACGGGTAATATTACTCCATCTGTCTCTAATTACTTGTTCATTTTTTAATAGACACACCTATTAAAAATATAATGATTGACATAATGAGTTTATCATTTTACCCCTATTAATTATGAAGTAGATGAATTAAAAATTTAAGATTTTCAAGAAGTTTTTCCATTTTTAAAGTAATTAATTGAGGGTATAATAGATAAAAAAATTTGTCATATCTTGATTTGTCAAAATGGACAAGTAATTAGGGACAACTAAAAAAGTAAAAGTGGACAAGTAATTAGGGACAGAGAGAGTACTATATTATCCTTTGAATTTATTAAATTTAATGCTTTGAGAAATGTGCTAGATGATAAATAATACTCCCTCCATTTCATATTAATTGAATTGTTGAGACATTTTTCATTTTTTCAAATTAACTTAATTGTTCAATTTTCAAGACTACTTTTAGAATGTTTTTTCAATTTTACCCTTCATTAGTTAGTATTGGAATTAGTTATTAATTAATGTTTAGTTATTTTAATCATAATTTTGATAATAATTAATAAGGGTAAAAATGGAAAGTTAAGCCTAATTTATGTCTTAATCTTCTTTTCTTAAAGGATGTGAAACACCTTAACAATTCAATTAATATGAAATGGAGGGAGTATGTAATAACAAGGGTAAAATAGGCATAAAGGGTAAGTGGACAACTATTGTTAGATGGAACGGAGTATAAGAACACACTAGCTCATTCTGAACTCACTAAGGACTAGAAAATTAACTTCACACATGCTGACTATTATATCTATAAGCATATAAGGGATCAAAGTTTTGATAAACCAAAAGAAAAAACTCATGGACTCACCTCATAAGCCAAGATCTTTTTCCCCTAATCTGTTCTTTTTCTTCCTTCTTGTGTCCTCAAATCTTCTCACTTTTTTCATTTCTAACACTTTTAAGCACTCTTCTTGTTATCTATACCAACAAACATATAATTCCATTGATACTGATTCATCACTTAATACTGATATCCCTTTGGTTGTTCAGCCTGCAGAAACTAGAGATGATGATATTCAAGCATCTGATTTAGACCTTCCATCTGAGCTCCGTGCTTTCGCATCTCCACATAAACTACCATTTGGATTCAGCACAAACTTTGATTCTGATAGTATCATTCCTCCGGTTGGGCACCCATGCACCAGATTTCCTGATTTACTTCGTCGTTACATGTCATACAGAGTCAATGGTTCTTGCCCTGATGATGAGATCCTAGGACAGAAGCTGCTTCTCAAAGGTTTGTGTTAGTGTGGAAAGATACTGTTCCTTCGTTTATACAGTCAAACATCTCTATAACAACGTTGTTTGTCTAGTATAACATAACATGAAAAAACTGTTCCAAAGGGAACTTGTCTGTTATAGTGAAATGTATTGTTATAGAGAGGTTTGATTGTATATATAGTTGCTATAATTGTGTAAGTAGGAAAAGGAATTAAGGAATTTGTTACTCAAAATCTCTTACTCTCTTTTTTTTGTTTACAGGTTGTGAGCCTCTCCCTCGACGCAGATGCCGTCCTGCTGCTCAACAAGAATATGTTGAGCCTTACCCTCTTCCTGAGAGTTTATGGACTACACCATCAGATTCATCTGTTGTTTGGACAGCATATACTTGCAAAACTTATGAATGTCTCATCAACAGGGTGAAATCACAGAAATCATTTGATGATTGCAAAGACTGCTTTGATCTCAATGGCAGAGAGAAAAAACGATGGTTGTCGACAAAGGGAGCTGGCCTTGACTTCTCTATTGATGAAGTGCTAGCAGTGAAGAAGCCTGGTACAATCAGAATAGGACTTGACATTGGAGGTGGTGTAGCTACGTTCGCTGTAAGAATGAGAGAAAGGAACATAACAATATTAACAACTTCTATGAATCTCAATGGTCCTTTCAATACATTTATAGCATCAAGAGGAGTCATACCTTTGTACATAAGCATTTCACAGAGACTTCCTTTCTTTGACAACACACTAGATATAGTCCACTCAATGCATGTGTTGAGTAACTGGATACCATCAACACTGCTCCACTTCTTGTTTTTCGACATCTATAGAGTGCTTCGGCCAGGTGGGCTGTTCTGGCTTGACCATTTCTTCTGTGTTAGAGAGCAATTTGAGCAAGTCTATGCTCCCCTTATAGAGAGCATTGGGTTCACTAAGGTCAAGTGGGTCGTAGGGCGAAAGTTGGATAGAGGACCCGAGCTGAATGAGATGTATCTTTCAGCACTGTTGGAGAAACCACTCAAGAATTCTTGGTGACAGTATTTAGATGTTTCTTTTACTTTAAGAAACAGAAGAAAAGGAGGGATCTTTCAGCACTGATGTTTTTTCTTCTTTTTTATTTTTTATCATCGATTCATTTTAGATGACATCTCCAGATATAAACTAACAGTTTGAGGTAACTTGAGTATGAGTTTGTAATGTTTGAGGACTAAACCCTGGTTAGCTTTTGAATTTGCTGGTGATAATGCCAAAAACCAGATTCCTTATTCAGAGCATAAGATTTTACTCTTTCATATTGAAACTCACGAGGAAATGATCTCTTATGACTACTTACAAATTAAATAGAAGAAACAGACCTTTTCAGATCTCTCTTATGTGTAAAAATGAAGATCTCTCGTAAAAAGGGATATAAAACTAAAAACAAATTTGTAAAGGACTACAAAACCAAATCTTCTTGTTCATGGATGAAGCACCCATATTGAATATGTGAAATTGGACACATAGGTCAATTAGGTCATTGCAATTTGAGAAAACCATTTCCAAACAAAAGTTAGAAAAAAGTGTTCTTTAAAGCCAAAAGAGCCGAAAAGGATCAATTCTGGGAATTGAAGTTAAAAGTGAGAAGCAGCACACAGTTTACAAACAAATTAAGAGTATCTTACATGTATGGATACTATAATAATCAAGTCAATATTAAAATAACTAATTCCAGCATCAATGTACAATAATGTCAATACTAATCCAACCCCTCCAAGCTGAGATTCAAAAGAATCGGAAGGCTGGATCATTTGGCGTGTCGTTGTTAGTCGAAGCGATGACTTTTAACTCTGTATATATTACTTTGTCCAAGAAGGAATAACATCAAGGAGTTAGAATATAGAAAAAGGAAAGCTTGGAATTGGTTTGACCTATGGACACCACAAAAAGACAATAGCATATGACATAGCACATTGTTTTGTCTATTGGTAAGCTAACCATCACTTTCATGGGGTTGCCAAAAATTTCAACCCAGTAAAAGAGGCAGCACGGTGCGTTAGCAGGTTCCGGGGGAATAAACACTAAAAGAGTAATATAAGAATAATTTTGAAGTTGTTGATTCAATGTGCAAACCCTCAATAGAGTCAATATAGGATTTCTAGACAACTGGAGTAGATATAGAAATGACAATAGAACATGGAATCTCAGCTCAAGATTTTGAAAACTATATTAAAATACTGCAGTAACGGCAGATCCTGCCGCAAAAACTGCCTTCTACAGTAAAATTAAGACTTCAGGTTACAACAACAGAAATTGATATTGCAAGGTACAAGTACCAAATCACTACAAACAACACTCGAGTCGAGAAACATAAATTGCTACAGTGGGAAGATTTCTTATTTGCGATATCATCACTCAGCAGAAGTGAGTAGCTATTCTATTTCATCTTCAACTAGGTTGACAAAATATACAAACCCCAAAGCTGAACGGGGTAACTATGTATAGATGGGGTATTCTCAAGTTGTTTCACTGATCAAGTACAACTTCTGACCATCAGATATCATATCTATATCAAGAATTTTACCTGCATCTTCTGATAAAATACAAGAGCCTGATGGGAAGTTGAGTTGTTCTGAAGCTGCAGTAACGAGCTCTTCCATACTCGTAGGTACCCATAGTACAACACCATGTTTCCTGAGGTCCTTGGGCTCCCATGGGTGGACAGGGAATACAGTACACTTCCGTGGGTGCTTTTTTTCTGTTATGCATGGATATTATATGGTTAGCAAGCTTGAAATAGCTTAGCCAATAGAACTAAAAAAATTGGTGATAAGTAACAATATAGCTAGTGACATGAGGAACTTTAGTTGAAAAGAAGTTATAGCCCCCGTTTTTCGTTTTGGAAGAAGAGTAATGATTGATGACTTACAGGTAATAATGAACATTAAGCTAACACTTTTCTTGTTCCTCTTCATGTCACTTTTTATTGTTTCTTGGCATTTTTTATAGGTCATTAGTAAAGGGAAAGCGTGGAGCAAGGGAATCTCCCAGATAAAATAAGCAGTGGTGCCACAAAAAGGGTATAATTTAATCTCCTAAAAAGAAATATATTCCACTGCTTTAAGTGATGGTGTTGCTTCTGCAATACCTGAAATCTCATGCGAAACACTGGGGAATTCTGATGTTTGAGCTGATTTTGCGTCTTCCAGAAGCTTGATCAACTGATTGTTTCCACTTAGTCTAGCTTCATCAAATGGAGTATTTCCCCATCTGCAACACAACAAGTTCCCTTTAAGATTTAAGCGTCTAGCCATACTTTCAAAATGAGTACAGATATGCACAATTCAGCTAGTACAGTGTAATGGTTGGGAAGAGCAACCACAATGATCTATTCACCTCAAGTAGCCTGAAAACTTGAAGGAAAGAAACTACACCAAGCTCAAGAAAAGAATTGACTAAGCATCTAATAATCTCGATATGGGAACAAAACTATCAGCGTGACCAAAGATCATGTATGATTCAAGGCATTTTGAGCTTGAACCGGGATGGACTTGACAATAATCTAATCTAGGTCATCAATGAGTTTTCTTAGAAAAAGAACAGGTTTCACATAAAGAAAATTGTGTTGGAATCTTCCTCACATTTGAGAAGTCATTCTCATTCTTGATTCGTCTCTATCTCATTTAGTTGATGACAGGAAAAATAGGAAAATCAATTAGTGCAACGTCGAATTCACTGATGAGAAAATTCAGAAGTTCATTCCAAAAGCATTCATTTTTTACATGAGGCCTTATATGCTCGACATTTCATTCTTAAATGCCAAAGGAAAAGGGAAAAGATCTATTTCCCCATTTAACTGAAGAACATCAATAACTTTCTCACATGATTAAAAATAAGCAAAGTGTTGATGTGATTTCAAATCGTTTGGGTATTATATTCAAAAATAGCAAGAGTAAAAGTTAGATATTAGCTGTCAGGATAATCATACATACAAAGACGATTGTAACTTTATAAATGTCACAAGTGATAAAAACAAAAGTTGAAAACCTTCCAACCACAAAATGAAATTTTGAAAAAGAATAAGAATAAGAAGGTCCATAGGTAATGGATGTAAGATTCTAGAACGTCGTTACGCCTTAATCCCAAACTAATTGTTGGCTATATGAATCCTAACTATCCATTTCGCTCCCTTTGTAACCAGATGGAAGATTCAACAATCATCAACAAGAAAAAAAGTTACTCCCCTCAATTAATTCGCCAAATACTGGTAGCAACAATATAAAGTAAATTTTGTGTTTCCCGACATGTTAAGCACATGAGTCTACCTTATAGTTTATGACAAAAGGTAGCTTGCACTAAACTAAAGATTGCATACTGTTAAGGAAGTGACTACAGTAATATAGCAATATATATTTAACTGGTACCTGTCCATTGAAAAAACTGAAGCACCAGCTCCCAGAAGCAATCTCGCCATCGCAAGCAATCCTTGAGAAGCCGCTACATGGAGCGGTGTTCGGTGATCATAATCTTTGGAGTTTGCATCAATACCATTGGACAACAGCCTTCGTAGTAGATCTGAATCCCCTTTTGTAACCAACGTACACAAGAAGCTACCAGCATTTTCAATCTTCAAGAAGGCACCTTCCTTAACAAGTAATGAAGCAACACGATCGTGTCCATTCTTGATAGCTTCAAAGAGCGGTGTGTTTCCAAAGTTGTCTACTTGGAAAAAAACATTATTAATCAATATATGAGAACAAGGAAGTTCACCGGTCAAGTACAGGTTTTAATACCTACCTGAAGCATTGAGATCGATACCTTCTTTGACAAGGAAAAAAGAGATGTCTTCATATCCTCTGGATGCTGAAAGATGCTGTTCATAAACAAAGCCTTGATTAGGAATACTTTTCAACTCTTTTAAAAATTCAGCCTTCTTTTAGAATCATTATCTTTGGTTATTTTTCTTAAAGACAGAATCAGTATTTTTATAGAAGCAGCATCTGAAACTTCAACCAATAATACCTGCAGAATTTCAATCTGGAATTCCTTATTTGTTACAACAGATAAATCCTACCAAACTATGCTGCATGATTTACAGATTTGCACACTCAAGAAAGACATAGATGAGCTTGGAAAACAAACAACTCATTATGAACAAAGAGTTAAGGTCCACTCATGGACTGATAAACACTCAAATGGCTTTAATTTCAGAAGAGTTTAATAGTTATTCAGAAAATAATTTTTTTTAAACGAAGCAACTCGTTGAAATATCAAAAAGTAATGAACCAGAAAACTCTTATGTTTCTATTAGCTAAAAAATCATACCAGAGGTGATCTTCCATCATAATCTTTCTTGTTGGGATCAGCTCCAGCTCGAATAAGACTCTTCAGCTGGTGTAAGTCACCATGATAAGCTGCACTATTAACTTTCAAAGCAAGATCAGCCTCTTGTTTCCCAATATGGAATGTTATATCTGACTCCAGTTGCTTCACACGAAGATCCTTTCCCTGTCAGATAATACTCCTTTTAGACCTTTTGAGTGATTAAGTACTTCTAATGCAAAAAGATGTTAATATTAGAAGGACAAGAACAATTAACATTTATGAACATGTACTTTTCTAGTCAACTTTTGTACAACTACCAAGAGACAACAGAAACCATAGGTGGTATGACTGGAGAATGGCATGCTGCCCAAGAGAGATTACCTCTAGTAAGTTCGCCAAGATTCTTCTTCCATCGTGAAAATAGATCTCCAAAATATTTGAAAATGACTGCTTATCAATCCGTATGAGTCTGCATAGTTCACAAACACGGACAGTATATGGTTGTGGAATGTTGCAAAGAATGGATATTTCTCCGAACGAGCTATTAGGCTCAAGATGTGCTACTGTCTCTTGTGACCCATCTTCTCCTATACCAACTTCTACCTGAATCAAAATAACCACAATGAGTCTCGCAATATTAGCTACAGCTCGATGCCAAACATGAATTGATAAGTCAGCAGTTGTAAGATTTGCAGAAGTTTTGGAGCAATGGGAAACTAGAAAACAGGTTTATTGTATTTTTCTCTCCTTATCTAGAGTTTCTAATAACACCATCACGGTCTAAAAATTTCTTAGCTGCAGTCAGAGAACCAAGTCCATAATAGATCCAGACCTATGATATTAATACGGTTTGGAGACCTCTAATATAAGGTAGGATATACATTTTCTAAGCCATAAATGAATATAAGCTTATATTAAAATAAAAGGCTGTGATAGAAAATGCTAAGCACTGAGCAGCAATAATAACAGTAAAACAATTACCAGGACACCATCACAGACAAAATAAAGTTGGTCCACTACATGCCCCTGTTCCATGATCACTTCTCCTGGGAGGAAAAATTCTTCATGCACTCGAGTTACCTGAAATTTTTTTCACAAAATTAGCTCCTCAGCACTAGATTTACTTTTTTCTCTTTAACTGGGCCAATCGAAATCAAACAGAAAGGTGTGAGGAGGCAAGCATCCAAAGGTATACATTAAGAGAGGAGAGAAGAAGCATGCATGACGAATTATTTCTAAATTCAGCTGACTGTGGCAATGCAGGTTGATAAGGCAGAAAGCATGTCTACACGTAGAAAAAAAACCATAAAGTTACCAAGGACCATTTCTACAAATATGTTCTCAACCTAGGATCCCAACCTTGCTGTCCTTGGGTGCACGTATAACATGTAAAAATCATTAAGCACATTGAAGAAGTAAATCTGCTTATACAATTTAATCAAGCAAACGAACCTGAAATAAAGATGAATTAATTATGTTGTTCACAAAATTCAGAACATGAGCAACTCTGGATCTTAGATTAGAACATATGGTGTGGGTCTATGTTTCTTGCCTCATTAGGATCAGCATAGAAAATATATAAGGATCTTATTAGCCATTAGTTTCTAGAGGTTGTGGCAAAATATTTCATATAATATCATGGATTTCAACTAGAGTGAAAATGAAACAGACCTCTTCAGGAAAACGATACAAACACTGTTTTGAGATTAAATAAACAATCACTGACAAAGAAGATAACTTACAATTTGACTTATGAATTCTGCGGAGCACTCCCTAAAAAGAGGAATATTTTCAATGCAAGACTGATATAAAGTCTGGGATATCTGCAGAAAGGTTGAAGTGTTTGTTACAATATTGCTGAAAGAATGTTATATGCATCAGCAATGAGAAGGAAAGGTCGAACTGGAAGGCAAGAAAGAATACGAACTTTAGAAGGGCTAACAAAGATTCTTAATGCCTTTTTCGACAACGAAATAAATTCCCAAGTCAACAACCCCCCACCTAATAATACCATGCATACTGATCTTGCTTCTTTTAAAGTCACAATGCCTGATGTTTTCTACCCTGTGAGAATCCAGAGGGGCTCTGTGGGTTTTGGCAAACCTATCACTTTCTGCTCCAACCCTATTAACAATTCCAAAAATAGCATAACCAAATAGTTGTTTTGACAATGACTTGATCTCTCGCAACAGATTTAAAGAACTGTAACGAAATTCCTTGCTGCATCAGTAGTGACCTGCACGAATGGTGTAACAGCTGCCCGACCACATAGATATACTTTTTATTATTATTTTGTAGATTTATATTTCAGAACCCACAGCATGTATAGATTATAGATCCGCCACTTTCTTTACATGCCTAGCATTCTCTCCATCAGTAACAAAGGAAAACTAGCTTGTAATTAACTCTTATGGTCCAAATATAGCACCATAAATTGAGGAAAACAGAAAAGAAGCAGCACAATTCGAAGAATTCAAACCAGTTGTGATTCTAATGTCCCAGAGTACATGAAATTTAATGAATATAGAGCAAATTGCACACATATGAAGATTTTTCCTTTTGTTTATTTACCTTGGCACGAATTGAGATGGGAAGGTCATGGAGAACGGCTCCATCAGTGTAAGCGCTTTCATATTGTAATCGCAAGTGATCTTTAATTTGACTACGAATATCCCTTCCGAGTCTATTTCTGTTCATATAGTTCATAAGATCTGTCATTTTGTCCCTGTATCGCACAGTTTTTGATCCCTTGACAATCAGTGCTGTCATGTTACCGATCAAGTAAGCACCAAGAATCATATCAAAAGAAACATAAACCATCACAAATATCATTTCCCTCAGATTGACTGCATGTATGTCACCATAACCTGTAAGACCGAGAGACATCTTCTAATATTAGTAGGATGTGATTACATATCCAGAAAAGGTTTAAAAAGAATGCCATGAGTTAGGAAGAGAATGGTCAAAAGAAACCTTCCTTCGAAGCATATGAGTACCACTTCAAAACAAACAACTTGCTTCTTTTATACAGCCTCAACTAGTTTCTTCTGGTTAAAATAATCTCATTACCCAAAGAACCATTTTTCTTTGTTTGTCTCTTCACCAAAAAAGAATTTTTATGTTAATCCAAAACTATGTAAAGCCAACACCAACCTTATGAACATCTATATTTATCCGTCTTCAATAGCATCTGTGCTCTCTTCCTAGTCATTTGTTACCTATTTTCTCTTTTATATTTTTCTTGGTGCAAGGGCGGAAATGTAGAAAAGATCATATGCATGGTACTAGTGATAGCTTGACGTGCACGGTGAATTATTCAATATTTATGACTACTCGTCTTTAAGTTGCCAAGTTGATAATTTGTAAATAAAAAGATAACAGGACATCTCTAAAACACAATTGAGATCGAATGAGTGTCTTCAGTTCCATTAATAAGCTCAAAACATGCATAAATATTGGAATAAATGGATAAGATCAATTATTTAGGAAAATCTAGGGGTATAAAGTTTAGAGCGATCTTTAGAGGATTAAAATAGATTGAAAAGCCAATTATCACGTGCACCAAATATAACAAGCACTACCACTGTCAGCCAAACTGTCACCATACTACCAGTCACACCTCATGATTAGTTTGTAGTTTGTACTATTTCGGACCTGCAGTTCATGATACTTCTATTATTCAGACATCTGATTCAGGTATTTATACATCCTGAACTTACTCTAGTTTATAGAAGACAAAAAAGAACACAAATTGGAAGAAAAGGTTTCAGTTCTAGTCCTGGATAGAATGCCACGTAGAATTTCAACTTCAGAGTTTGAGAACTTTATATTCTCAAATGAAATCTAGAGTCACAACTTATATCATATGATACAAAATAACAACTATATCTTGACAGGCAAAATGTCTGCACCTTCCATTTAGGTATCAGGTGAAAAGGGCAAAGACAACTTGACAGCAAAGCCTCTTCCCTTTGTGATACCCCAATATAGAATGGAAGAAGTAAATCTTTTTAATATTAAGAAGTTATCCTATGAAACTGAGAAAAATATCTAGGAGAGGGCAGAAATCCCAGTCATAAAAACCAGCACCCAACTTTAATCGTGGATTGTTGCTCGAACGGTCACAAAAGACAACAGTAGTCCATTTTATAGAGGAAAACAACTAATTCTGGTGAATCGTCTAATCATGTGTAACAACTTGTGTATTGTGGATTCCATCTATATCATCAGCCTTTTAATTTCATCTCCAATAGAACTGGAATATATTTTTCAGATAATTATGCCAGTGAAACTAGAAAGAGAGCAATCGACATACCCACAGTTGCCATAGTGACAATTGCAAAGTACAGAGAAGTGATGTACCGCCTCCAGAGATCAATCTCTCTAAAGTTTGAATAACTGTAATCTCCCAGGGTCAAACTACCAATCCATGTGTAGCCTTCTTTCTCTGCAGGCAGAGTAGTTGCCAAAAAGTAAAAGATGCAAGCTGCTGTATGCGTGCAATAAAGTTCAACAGTGATAAGCTTTATAATCCTAGTGAAGAGATAATTGATTCGAATATCTTTCTCCATCTTCTGGAAAAAGTCAGTAACCCTGCGCACCCTGCTTAACCTAATCCATAAAAGGTATCTCACTCCTTCAATTCTTCCAGAAGCCTGAATATTTGATACGGGACAGCGTTAGTAAAAAAGGCACTACTTGGATCAAGTATCTAACATGAAATGCAGGTATCAACTCATTTAAAATTTTGGTCTTCACCGAAGGCAAAAACTAATAGGAAATGAAGTAGACAAAAGGGCTTCCACTCTTGTTGGCAAGAAAGTTCTCATTTCTCTTTACTAGGTTTGAACTGAAGTTTATGAGAGAGGAGCATATAAAGACAAGTGAGCTTTATCAGTTTATTCAGCATTTTAGGCCTCTAAGCATGAAAGTCACGCAAAACTAGTTTAATTCCTCCTCCTCCTTGTTTTAATCATATCATATTCTCACCTAACTGCCAAATAGATGTTTGCTTTGCATGTTCTAAAACATTTGGTGGATCTCCAAATTATATAAAAGATTGACTAATTAAATTGTGCTACAAAATTAAAAGCATGAAGTTATTAATAACTCTAAAAGCATGATGTTAGAGAGAGGATTTAGGAGTGAATATAGTACCTTAAAAATGTTATCCCACGGCATGCAACTGAGAACATCCAAGATAAAATGAGATTTCAAGTACCTGCAATGAAAGAGGCTAACTTACTTAAATGCATACATTCTTCTGCAAATTTCTTTAGTGATAGATTCAGAATTTAGATGGTGTGTGTTTTTCAAAATGTATATCGTACTTTATATATACTACTTGTTTTTTACAAGTATATAAAGAATTTGACCTGAAACACTAGGTTCTGTCGAACTTGCATAGGTACCGCCACTACCCCTCTTGTGCAAATAGTAAGGTAGAACTTAGAAGGGAGAAGGGGACTAACCGAAGAGCAATAGGGGTTCGCCTATACACCATCTTGTATGTCTGACTATCTCTGTAGGCTACAAAAAATTGTATGACTATGTCGACAAGAAAAGCTATTTGACCACAAATGTCTAAAAGAAATAGTTTCCTGGGCAATCCTTTAAAGAATGCAAACTCCATTGGTGTAAAAAAAGTTGAATATATTGCCCAAATCAGGATAAACTTATCCCATAGCTTGTACCACCTGCATCAAGTTTTCTAGATTATCAATTTTAAAACATCAAAGATAATTGATTGAGAAAGCAATTGATGATACCAACAAAAACTTTCATAATACAAGTAAATGTGCTTTTCTTTTCATCAATGAATGATGTATTACAAAGAAAAAAAAAGTCAGTTATTTATACATAATTATGATCAAGTCAATCCATTAAACTTTATGAGTTTACATTTTTACCTAAAAAATAACTATAAGTAAATGCTCGCAATAAAAAATTAGCAGTCCAAAAAACAAGATACTTCAACATATTATATGCACCTATAAGTGTAAAAAAATGTGTTATAATTATGAATAAGTTAAATCTAGTAATTTTATTACTCTACTATGATATATTTCTCTGTCAAATTTGAATTTTGTAAACACTATTGATTTGAACTTAACGACTTTATAGTTCCACCTCCAAGCAGCAATATTACAACCCACTTTCCACCCTGTCAACCCAACTAGCAGCTCCTAATTTTTTCCTCTCACACATAAATCTCGTGATCTTCTTCTGATCATTGTCAGAGTTTAAATTTTATGAACAGTGAAAGATATTTCTGCGCAATCAGATCACTTATAAATTAATTATGTATAATCATATTTAACTTACAAAGCTGAACAAGATTTTCCATATGTGTCAAGTGAGTTTACAATTTTGGTCATTTTCTCGATTTATAACCATGCAAATATTACAATTTATTTTGAATCATAACGAAGGGAGTAGTTTGTTTGACATATTAAATATTAATTACTGTAATATATTTTATGTATTAAATTATCCTCTGGTATATTGAAAATCTAAAAAGAGGAAGTATTGTTTAGTAGTAGTTGTAATCATGGTGTATAGCCAAAACTGGCTAATGTTCTCCCCAATGAATGTCCTTTGCATCACGCATAACTCAAAACGATTATTCTCTGACACAAAAACGACAAGTCGCCGTAACTTTTTCCACGCCAAAGTACAGAAAATATTTACTAGAGTAACACTTAGATGAAGAAAACGAGTCTATTTTGGACTGTAAATTTTAAAAAAAATATTTTCTATATATTTTGAATTGTAAATTATTAAAATTTATAGTACTTTTACGTAGTTTATAAATATAAATTTTATTTAAAAAACTTTAAACATTTAATATATAAATTCTCGATTAAATTTAAAACTATTTTACTCTAGAAAAATGGAAAGTGTCATATAAATTGAGATAAATGACATTACTCTGCAATTTACATCTTTTAATTTATGTAAGCACTTCCTATAATAAGATATATTTATATAAATTAATATATACTCCACTATTTTCTTTTTCTAACTGTGTTTTAGTTGTTTTCACATTTATTGAAAAAAAATATAAAACATAAATTATTAAGTTATTTTTATTCGTTAGATGTCTTTTGAGAATTAAGCATTTTTAAGAACCGTTTTTGTTAATGTTAAAGTATAACTTTGAAATAGTTGCCAATTTTAACTTTGATATTTAAATAATATAGTTATTTGAAATAACTTTTAAATTAAAATGACTCATAAAAATAAGATGAGAAAAAGTAAATGACACATTAATTTCGAATAATAATGTTTAATTACTCCTAAAACATAGGAGTATTTTAATTTTATTCACTTTTTATCAAATTAACGTCAATTTTGTACGTGAGAAAGGATTATTAAAATGAAGCTTATTACTTGAAAAATCGATGAACACTAATATTAAGAATTTGATTTTTCATATCGTAATCTCCTCGCAAAGCTAGAAGCGTACCTGTCATCGGGATAAATGACGAAATCTTGAGAAAGGCCTCTGAGGCCATTGATGACGTTTTCTCTGCTAAATCTCGAAGGAGTTGAATCAGCTATTAGCTCGTTCTCCATCATCGCTAATCTACTGGTACTTCTCAACGATTTCATACTATCTCTCAAATCATTCATCTTATACTCTTTTGGTGAATCTCTTCCATTCCTCTCTTCTCCTAATTCTCTCTTCATCGACATCTTCACAAACGCACTGTAAAATTCACAGATCTCTCACTCTATGTGACTGTCCGTTACTCTTCTTCTTCACGCAGTAAACACAAAATCATCAGAAAAAAATCGAAAGTTTAGCTAATTTGGATTGATTTCTATGAGTGTGTGCGCATAAACTGAATCGAATTTCTGCGAATCTCACTGTAGAAAATTCGAAAGTTCTGCTAGTTTAGATTGATTTATCTGTTGCATATGCAGAAACTGAATCGAATTTCTTCGAATCTCATTCTGTCCGTTACTCCTCTTCTTACACTAAACACAATCATCAGGAAAATTCAAAAGTTAAGCTAATTAGGATTGATTTCTGTGTGTGTATGCAGAAACTGGATCGATTTTCTTCGAATCTCACTCTGTCCGTTACTGTTCTTCTCACACAGTAAACACAAAATCATCAGAAAGTTCAAAAGTTTTGCTCATTTTGATTGATTCTCTATTTCTGCATGATAACGGATTTTCTCAGCAATGTCAAATCCATAGACTGATATGTTAGCTTCCTTGTATTGAGCTTCTGGAAAGTTCTTCGATGTTTGAATGAATCAGCAGTAGCTAAAGAGAGAGAGAGATATACTGAAGAACAACTAAAATTTGTCGAATCTATAGAGATAGAGAAAGCTGAGATCCAGAGAAAGGATATATCAGATGGTGAACTTTCTGGAGAAGAGGAGGGAAGGTATTTATATGAAACTCAAACTCTGCCGCAGTTATTTTAAGCATAATATATAAACATGCACTTTAATTTTACATCGATCTTGAATATGTACAAATAAATATTTTATATGAAATTGTATTATTGTCATATAAAATATATATATTTATTTTATTTTATTTTATATAAATTTAATAGTTAATTATGTGTACTCAAATTTGAAGGACATGAATATAGCCCAAGTTAGAGAGAACATATTAATGTGTCATGCCATCATTTAATTTTATCTATGCGTTATTAAATAATCTAAACTAAGTATTAAATTTAAAATTGGTTGCCGTTACGTGTATACCACACAGTTGTAGGCTTGTAGCTAAAGTGATGTAATAAGCAAAGTACATTTGTACTCATAGAAAAATAAAATAATACGAGAGTGCCTTTCATATTTTATCTGTCTAAGATTTAATTGGACATAAAATTTAAAATATATGTACTGGAAAAAGTAATCGCATAAACTAAATTAAATTAAACTAAATATATGTATTGCATCAAGTCATCAATGTAACATTTGCCCTGGCTGCTAACAATTAAATGAGAAGCGGTGAGGTAGTACTTATCATAATAATTAATATATTTTACAAGAATGATATACATAATTTATAACTAAATTTGTGTAATCAACTCATTAAAAGTTAAAACTAGCTGTTAGAAATGTTGTATTTTTATCTACTAAATTATTACTATGTCTTAACTCTTAAATGAAGTATATTACTTACATATTTGGAGATTAATTATCTAATGAAGAATATGACTAGCTAGTAATTATCTTCTTTTTTTTTGTTAATAACTAGCTAGTAATTACTATTAGAGTAGAGACAAAGTTATTACTAGATTCAAATTTATTTAAAATTATTTTTCACAACTAACAAATGGGATCGCAAATAGCACCCTTCCTATTGTTTTGTCATAGAAGAATTTGTAGTCGTCATCTTTTGAATGCGTATAAGGTAAACTTCACTCTAATTTAACAACTTACAATTTACACGTAAAAGATAAATTACACGAGACAAGTCTCATAAGATGAGCTCGATCGAAAATGGATGTTGATGGTTTCAAATATGAGACTCCACTTTGAAGTTGACATGTTCAACCAACTTTTGCCACCCTTGCAGTATTCTGTGGTTTATTATAAGACCATTTTCGTGGAGTACAACAAACATAATCACGTCGGCTGCTGCCTAAATTGCAAACCAAGTTTTCCATGGTTTTTGTGATAAACAAACAATTAATTGGTCCCATAACGTGATTCTTGCTAAATTATATTAGCAGGAATGTCCCATCATCAATAAAAATCTAAGGTGGAACTCATAAATAGGCCCCTAAATTGTTGGGTTTTTCCCCTCAGGTATCTCAACTACGCCATTTTCCTATTGAATCTTTGAACCACCCATAATTTGTTCCTTTTAAACACTATGGGCTGATGTGGCAAAATGTGATCTCACGTCGCTTGAGCGCGTGAAGACATTTTGAAGGCGCTGATGTGGATCCCTAAACCACCCATCAACGATCTTCTTCCCCTTTTTCTCTTATTTCTCCTCTTTTCTTTCTCTTCATCATTAAGTTGGAGCTGCTCATCAGAATATATCTCTTCTTCATTGATTTCTTCTTAATCATCAAGTTCCAATGTCGAAGTTATCTTGTTCATCGATTTCTTCTTCTTTAACTGCAAATGTGCTATGTCAATGTGGGGTCGTTGTGGAAATGAAGACCTCATGGATACAATCCAACCCTGGACGTAGGTTCCTTTGTTGCAAAATCACTTCAAAATTTGAGAATTTTAGTTGTAAATAGCATAAATATCACTGAAATAAGATCAATTTTTAGGGTTTTCTCGTCTAGAACCATTGCACTTCGGGTCAAAAGTGTTTTGGGGGGGGGAAATGAAGGGGCTTTAGCTTTTTAGCTTTTTAGTTTTGTGCCACATCAGCCCACATTGTTTAAAAGGAACAAATTATGGGTGGTTCAAGAATTCAATAGGAAAATGATGTAGTTGAGGTACCTGAGGGGAAAACCCCAACAAGTTTAGGGATTTGTTTATGTGTTTGGCCAAAACCTAATATATAAGATTGATACTGTAATTTATCGAGACAAATATAAAATTTAAAATTTATGAATTTTTATAATAACCTCAACTTAATCGATACTAAAGTACTAATTAAGTTCACAAATTTCTAAATATAATTATGGAATAAAAATTATTAAATTTTCATAAATCTATAACCAACCGTCTAAATTCACTCCTAATGATATATGTCATGACTACCATATTCCACAATATTTTAAAGCCAGTTCATTTTAGGATGGCATTACGTGCTCTTATAACCTTTAACAAGCTAATTAATTATAAGTCACTTTCTAAAGATGTTTCTTTCTACTTTATTCAATATTTTTGGCCTATCTTAATGTGCGGCAAACCTTGTTTATACCTTAAAGTCAAAATCTAAATTTATTCTTGATATGTATACCAAACATTATGATACGTGTACATTTTGATATGTATATGGTTATCAACCACTACATAAGATGACAATTACACTTCCCATTTCTTTATTATACTAATTATCGTAATGTTTTTTATAAGTGCAAATTGTGAAAATAATTAATCCCAAATATAATACTCTAGTATGAAGGTTTGAGCCGGTATTCAATTGAATTATTTTGAAGAAGAATATTCATAGAATTTATTAAAATATATGTAAATTAATTCGAACATTATGATTATAAAAAAGAAAAATTGATAAAATAAAATTGTATGGTGATTATTAAGCCCCTAGTTATTGACTTTTTCTTTTGCCTTTTTGGTTCTAATGAGCTTCTGACAGATGTTCAAAGAGGCTTTTATTATACTGGGAAAAATTAGATTTCCTCATATGGACTTATTTTATATTATATTATATTAATAATAAGATTATGAGACACAACAATGACTGTTTTTGTATAATCATTTTGAATCATTGATATGAGCCAGCTCTGGAACATTTCCCAAAAGAATAATATAGGAGTCAGTTGGTGGCTGACTAGAATTATGTAGATATTAATAATTTTTTAAGTGGGTCACTTCGCGTAAGACATTACTTAGGACCAACGGGTCACACGACAGGTGCATGATATATAAATTAGTTATGAAAAATTATGTAATATTTTATGGAGAAATCAGTTAAGCAGGTTGAGTTATTACTTATTACATATTGTATTGTGCATAAAATGATACATAAATTCCCTCATAACTTTTACATATTGTAGTTATGCAGATTTTAAAATACAAAATTAAATAGTAAACACCATATTTATTTTATGAATGAAGAATTTACCTCTTAACCAACTATCGAATATAATACTATTTATGGGAGTCAAATTGATGCCACACACAATTATTATCGGATGTGTGAGGCACGTAATGATTTTTGTCTTAAATCGATAAGTACAAAATTAGTTTATGTGGTATACAAGATGTAGATGCCTTCTCAAATGGGTCATATATGCTACTAAGGCTACATCATGTTTCAAAAAGAAAATAAAAATAAAAATCAGAATAGAACAAATTATTAAAGGATATTGACATATTTGAAATTTAAAATTTTATTAACTTTAGTTTTTGTGTGTGTGCATTTAGATAAATTAAACTCCATTTATGCCTTAATATAGTTGAGGATGATGTTGGATTATATTATTGCTTTACACCAACAACTTTTTTTTTTTATAATAATATTTAATTTAAGATGGATACAAATCAGTGTTCGTCCATATCAATTTTGGTATAAAATAATCTTTCATGTAGTTGAACAAACATATATTTTCAACCAAATGCAAGACTAATAGAATTTGCTTAGCTTTTATTACGGCTTAATTAATTATGTTCAATCTCATGACTTATGTTTTCAGTATCTATTAATATCCACTCATAACCAAGTTCATGCCACATATTTGTCCGTTTTAGTCGATAAGACATTTCTTTAATTATGTCATCATCGAATCACAAGTGTGTGCATCATAAAAAATTGTATTATGTTATGTAATTTTAAAAAAAAAAATCCCTCCTCTTTATCTAAAAGCCTAGTACTATATACTTTTCTATTACTTGTCTTTATTGGCCTGCCCTCCGATCTATGGGTGTCATGTACACACTCTCACCCCAAAGATTTAGAGTATTCGTTGAAGTTTGTTCTATTACTATACTAAAGGAGCGTTTGGCTCTGATACCAATCCAATTAGCTCATGATACATATTGTTTATTTTAGCCAACAAGCTTCACGAATCTGTCCCTTGGACTGTGCTATCATTGGACCCAAAAGTGTGTATACCATGAGAACTTGTGATGCTATCATGATTTGTAAAACTCTTCATATTTCTCTTTGTCCCTTCTTCAGAAGCTTGACGGCCTAGAAGCCTCCAAATAATTCTTTGTGTCCAGTCCTCCGTCATAAGCATCACATATGTCACCACTCTCTTCTAAGGACTCAATGTCTTCGCTAAAGTTTGCTCCATCGAAAAAAGACTGAGATGACGAATCTTTATAGATAACACATGATTAATTTCAACTCTGGAGTGAATGAAATCTGATATAATGACATGCATTTCTACTATGATTCTTTCCCATGGATGCACCTTGTTTTGCTCCAACTTCTTGCTTAATGCATTGTGCGCAATGGAGTCCTCACCCCTACCTTTAGAAGAGGAAACCTTTAATTATATTTGACTTGAAACACCGGAGTAAGAGAGTGCTCGACTCTGATACCATATTTGTTATGACTACACCCATGACATATATTGTCTGTTTTGGCCTAACAAGCTAGCCTCACATATTTATCCCGACAAGCTTGATAGATTTGTCCCTTGGACTATGTCATGTGAACTTGTATTAGACTTTCGACTTTCCTTTCCCATTCTGATGTGAGATTGGCCTAAAATGTCATGTGCATCCCTTCTTCACAAATTTGTCAACATAGAAGTTTATCAGTCCTCCTATGTAATCCGTCCTCATCGGCCCATTCCTCTGTCATGGACATCACATATCAACTTGGTAAAAAATAAACTT